ATGAAAGCCTATCGAGCACAGTTGGATTGAAATTCGATAAGGTTTTCAAGAGCATGCTGCTCAATTGTTAATGAGAAAACTTGAATGAGAAAAGAGTAGGCCATTTGCAAAGGATGTATCTACATATCTGATGATATGTGAGAAAGAATTTGCACAGGAAATCTAAGTTTGTTTGAAGAAGTTCGATCACGACTACACAAACAAACTTTAATCAGTTTACACCTTAGAGGGAGATGTCACTTACGTAGATTGGAAGGAATACAAATAGGCCAGACTAATGTCATCCCTAAAGTCCTTCCAAAACATGCACTCCCAAAGCCCAGTTGTAAGCAGGAGATAGAAGACTTGATTCTCACAGGCTACTGGCGGCGCGTGTTTGTGAAAACAAAAATTTTCTGTCTGATCATTAAGAACCTAGTTTTCACTGCTTACCCGGAATTCTTTCAAAATCTAGTACAAAAAAGAGATTTAGCATAATTTTAGGATCTAGCAAACAAATAACGGAGGAAAGGTGAGCTCGAAGATGTGATTGAAAGAAAGCTGTTCTTAACCAGGGCTCGGCATAGGTGGCTTGTAAGGAAGCTGGATATCGTTTTTGGGTCAAAAAGCAAAAGGGGTTTCGTTTTTGAGACTGAAAAGAGGCAAAAATTGCTGCAACGTTTTTTTGGTCGACGTCTTTAGGAGGTTTGGATTATCGTGGAGGGTCAAAGAAGACTTCGTTTTTTGCATTTTCAATTAGCCACCTCGTGCCGAGCCCTGTGGCCGTATTCATCATTGACACCTTGAGGTAAATTCTACCTCCAGGTAGTTTTATCACTCATTATCAGCAAGTACCCGTATTCACAAAGTACCTTGAGGTAAATTCTCAATGTAATTTTGCTGATAATGAGTGATTAAACTACCCGGAGGTAGAATTTACCTCAAGGTATCAATGACGAATACGGCCACTGGTTTTCAACAATCCTTTTCGTCTCAGGGCCTTTGAGCCTATTCAAGTAAGGCTGGATTGCGGGAAGCGTAAAGTTCGCAATTCAAAGAGAAATCTTCAGTGGTACCAAAAGATAAATTCCAGTTTTCCAAATTGTAATCTAGCAGGTCCCTAATGCAAGAAACAATCTTCCTTGAAGGCAGACTCCATCCAAAATTTCGCCTCCTGCGTTTTTATCATTCTGGGGCCTTTTCGTGCCCCGATTACAGTCATGAAATTCAAATTGTCCAATACCTTAAAAAATCCGATTTCTGGGCCTGTTTTGAGGGCGCGGACGAGTTTCGGATTGCTCATCTTCATGTTCCCCTCGTCTTGTCAGTGGGGAGGACCCGTATTTTATTTTAGAGCCCACATCAAAAAATCAGACTAACGCAGGTCGGACACTTCTGGGGTTCCGCTTTATAACTATGAGCTAATCTAGGTAGGTGGGCTTTGAGTAGATGCTGCCTCTAAGTATGGTAACCAGGGGGAAAATATAAAGGATATTGCGATAAAAATTCTGCAAGATACATAAAACAAGAAAGCGCCACTGAACTATGGGTAGCCCCCGAAAAACCCTCCCAAAGTCCACTGATTAGATTTTCAAAGAACTAATAGAAGAGGAGTAAAACGACAAGCTGGATTTGGCACTTACAAAGAACTTCCACTAATGCTTTCATTTGTAGTGCATTTCGGCTAATTTTAGAAAGCTATCCCATCGAGTTTATTTGCACTATAACTGTCAAGTAAAGCCGTAATTTGCGTAATTTGCAAAGGAAACTGCTGTAAATTGCTAACTACATGAGACAAAGGTTATATATGTAGTAAAAATGTTGTTACCAGTGGTCAGGATAACCTCCCATTTTTGATTCAAAGAGTTACATTATTTCAAATCATCAGTGAGGCCCGTTAGTGGATCAACCTCTTCAGTTTGATTTCGCAAATTCAAAGCAATATATCTAAAAAGCTAGCTGTTTCTTATCAGCGCCCAGTGACAGAGGATTTCGCCTAAGTTTCTTTTGCGATCAAAATCATTCTAACATTTAAGCCAATTTTGTTTTTGTGGTGAAGGGATGTAGCATAGCTGCTTCTCTGCCATATTCTGACATTGTGATCAAATTATTGAGACATTTACTGCTATATTTTTTATACGCTTCTACGCAGTATGAGTGCTCTTGCTAATTGCCATTGTTAATTGTTAGGCTGCCTATAAACTTTGTTATACAAACCACACCCTTCTTTTCTTTTATAAAGAGTCGTGATTAATACAGCCACAATTAACCACCATCCCCTCCTCCCTCTTAACTTAGGATAGTGCTTGATCTACGTAATCAAGCCAAAATCTAAAATAATACAGATACTCAGAAATTGGACTTTGTTCTAAAGAATTCTACGGACCACCTTTTCACGCACGCATTGAACAGATAATTATTAGTATTTTTGCAGTGTATTTTTCGTCGCTGAAAAGCGATAACAGTTTTGCCCATCATACTGATTTCTCACACAAAGCTCCTAAATGGCCATTCAGAAGCCAGTCGTTAATTTACCTTCTTATAGGTGCCATAGTACTTCAAAAATATCAATTTTGGCGTTTTTGGGGGAACTATGATACAACTGATATTTGTCTGACCTCCGAGATTTGTGCTGTAGCTGAAAAGCTATTGCAGAGACGACGAATTTATGCTGAGAACGTCTGAGGGGAAAATGCAGAGAAGGGAAAGGTCGAAAAGTCTGAATTTGTCGAAAACAGAGTATGGCTAGTAATGCTAAGTATGAGTCATAGCAACTGATGACTGCGAGGAAACGATACTACTTTTTTTCTTGCTTTGATGATATATAAGATAGAAAATTAAGGTACCTGCGGTTTTTACAAAACCTATCAAACTAATTCTAGCTTCTCCTTTGAATTCACCTAAACACATGACTTGCTGAGTGCATTTATAAACAACCTGTCATGAAAAGTTCTGATAACGTTCAAATCTCCAAGATTTTCATTCGAGCAATGTTGTCTTGAGCTTGGTGCCTAACTGCATGAAAAGATTTAAAAAAATAACAGCGACTTACGGGGACCCTCTTACTGAATATTCTTTTAGTGCAGACAATTACTCTATTATCAGAGCGAAACCGTGTGAAATGTTATAAGGCTATTTCACCAAAATCTAAATTCAGAATTTTGTTGCACGCAACGTTCCATACAATTCCTTCTTCTTTACAATGATTACTGGTTCAATTAACAATGAATGGTTCAGTCATTTAGGAAAATGTATGTAATCTCAAGGTCAAAAACTGCATAGGAAGGTAGAGGGAATGGGATATTCGTAAGATGAGAACGGATGCGATCCCATGCTAACAAGCTTCGTTACACGAAGCTCTGCAAGCAGATAAACAGCCATTCTGGACGTTATTCATTCGTGAGGATACGGTGGAGCGGAATCGAAAGCGTAGGCGAGAGCATTCGATGTTTAGTATTTGGCGAACGCGGCCTGGCTTTTATTGGAAAAAGCATTGGAAAAAACACTTTTCAGGAGCTTTTCCCACTTGGAGGGGCAAGTGATCAGAAAGAGATTCGATAAAAATACCAGATTTTGGACTTAAATTTGAGTAAATTTCCAAATATTACAGGCAGAATGTGCTCTACTTTTAGACCTCATTTCTAAACCTTTCTCAATAATCGCCTTATATTTCACGCCTTTGGAAAAATTCGGGATGCTTTCTCAAAATCCTGTGACCGCAAAACTCAAGGAAGGGGACGTGGCGGCAGTCACTGTTTCTCAAAAAAATATTTTTTTTGCAAAGCTGGTTGAAATTCTAAAAGTTCTAATAAAATTAAAGCTTGATAAAATGAAGTAAACAAGAAGGACAGCTACAAACAAGTAATTTGCACATCTCTGAGTCATGCAGTCATCGAGGCCCATTCTCCTTCGGAGGGGGAGGGGGGTAAAGGGTTCAGTAGAAGTGAAAGCTTTGGAGCTTGATGTTCATGGCAAGAAAAATGTTTGCGGTTTCGAAATCACTGCTGGCCATCAGCTGGGTGAGAGTTTTAAAGAATCGGTATTTCATCATTAACGAGTCCTCCAGTTTTTTTTTTCTGGGTGAAATAGGGGAAGGGGAGTGACACGTTTTTTTGTTGGTTGAGGTGACATTAGTTAGTTCCCGAGAAAATTTCAAGGTCAAGGCAAATTTTCATACAAGTTGTTTCGCTTATGTTTGAATGGAAAAACTCACTGGCATATTGTAAAATCACGCGGAGTTCCGAATTGAGGCTCACTATCTCCCTCGTATAGGTCTGTTACCATTAACGCTAAGTTAGAACTTCTTCCACACCTTCATTTCAGTTGAAAATAAAAAAATAGAGCAATAAAAAAAGGAACAAAGAAGCTCAGAATTCTGCAAGCTGTCAGAGAGTTACTACGCTATGAATATGCTCTATTATTAGCTGACAGCTCTGGGATTACAGCAACAAAGAGATAACAATACAGACTGTGCTGTCCTATGCGATCACCATGGAAATGACAATCACCTGTGGCTTGCGTGGCTTGCAAAACGATGGGCACGTACTCATCTTCATAAAAACAGCACTATGACGAAATATTTGGCAGTTTGCAGAGTTTTCGCCTTGGCCCTTGGCATATGGATTTTCAGACTTTGGATGTATCGCTTTTTTCAAGACTGTGTTGCTACCTGGTACTCGTCGTACTGCTTCAACTAAACGGCAAAACTGCAAAAAAAAATTGCCATGTATTTTCGACAGCTACACATCTGTGTTGTTCGCTTTTAGCAGTGAAAACTTATCGTGGGGTAAAGTATACCGCCCATAATTCGTCAAAAGTGTCACCTGACTTTACCGACTATTCCGAAATTCGCGTTGCGTCGTCATATTTTGGTAGGTGGACGAATTTGTATCCGAAGGCCTAAGTAAACCCTTGGAGGCCCTGTATCTAGATAAAGGAGGGTATATACAGTGTAGTGTAAATGCAAAGGGAACTACAATACATTTCATAAATTTGCTTATGATGTTATGTGAAACTCAGAAAACAAATCATCATTTATGAGCATTATATATTAACTTCCAAATTCATAGCACTTCAAAATTGCTTCTCACTTTTCGCCTGAAAATACCGTACCGATGCGGCATACCTCCTAATTTTCTAATTTTATACCTGTCCCGCTTTGTATGCTCTTGTTCTGGTTAGTCCCTTTGGTCGGTTCTTTCATCTTGCCTGGAAAGGTTGATCCGCTTCGCTTTTTGCGCTTCTTCATGTACATTACACTGAGTATGACAACTATGAGCAGCACGATCACAACCGCTAATACTCCTACTACGATTGGAAAAGCTTTGCTGAAATTGGCGCTGCTTGATACGTAGTAGTAGAGGACGCCATACTTGCTGCCTTTTTTCTTCTCTTTCACTTCCTTTTTATCGCCAACTTGCAACTCCTTACCATCACCTTCTTCCGTTGCTACAATAGTTTCAGTTAAGCTTATAGGTATCTCAGTGACTGTGCTCGTACTCATCGCTGTAGTTGTTGGCGTAGTAGTAGTAGTGGTGGTGGTTGTAGTAGTAGTGGTAGTTGTGGTTGTTGTAGTGGTGGCTAAATCAAATACAAATGACCGTGAAGAAAATGTAGTATTTCTGTTTTGCAGGCCTCAGATACTTTGATCTAATTCCAAAACATTTGATTCGTATGTTAAAAACGGAAATCAGCTTTTGAAAGTATATTTTGCTGGCACTGCTTAGCTTCTGCGCTTATTCATTGCAATAAAAGTTTGGACATGAGAGGCTGAACTTTCGCAAAAGCATGGGGTTGAGAAACATGAGAGAAATGTCTGCTCTGAGGCGCTGTCTAATAAAATCAGAAATCAGGAAAGGGCAAAATTCGTCCCATGCTCAGCCAAATGTTCGTGGTGTGTTCAGACATTTTGTTGTGTTTTCGTTCGATCAAATTTCAAATTGCTATACTCTTGCGTCAGAGAAAAGTGATTTGCATACGTACCTTATTTTCACGCACAACGCGCACTCTGATTTTTTCAGAATCAAATACGCCGAAGAATTTTCGTGGAACGCTGATGTTGGAGAACAAGGCGAGTTTGCAGCGTGGTACGGTGCTTCCGCAGAAGAAGCTTTCAAGTTTCTGCTTGATCTGCCATCCATTGATGGCTTTGTATCTCGGCTATGAAGGTTGTATGAGAAGCACTAATTTGCAGCTTTGTTTGTGCCTGAACTCGAAGGCAATATGTTAAAAAGGCAATTTTCGTACGCATTGAATGGCTAAGGTTTTTGCTAGGTGATACAGAAATTCTCAAATCCAAAGTCGGGAAAAGTACAAAATTTTGCGATGTTGGAAGGCTTTGCTGTACAAATCAGCAGCAAGGAACTCCTGGAACATTCCAAATGTGGCTATGAAAGACTATTAGGCAGATAGTATACTCTTGATCAACCCTATTAGGAGCCACGCAAGAAGTGTAAGGAGAAAACCTTATTAACACACTGACGACAACGCGACCCACATGGTGATCATGAAATGATTGTCGCGTGGGACAATATGACTCACATGGTGGGTCATGGCTCAAAATTCGTTAAATTGAGTACTATTTTAGAATACATTCGTTTCAAAAGATATCTTGCGCTCTGAATCTAGGAATCGCTTTCACGTGTCTCGAGTGCTTCTTGAAATTACTCAAATTAAACTGTAGATGATCTACGTAATTTTAGTCAAAATTTTCCAACTAATTCTTGGAAGGCATTTTCCCACAAGACGGACAACCAAAAATGCGCGTTGTCACCAACGTGTTACATAAATACCACATGGTATATTGGTCCCAAGAAAGATTGAGCTGACTCTGTTTTTGCTGCTCGCATTCCAATAGAATTATCCGTTTTTGTATTGGTTCGTTACTCGTCGCAAAGCAAAGCGAGCTCTACAAGATGGTGTTCGGACCAACAAAGTTCGAACCAGCTTCAATCCACCGCAGGCGAAGAACTTTGAGAAGTTCCAAATGTTGAAAGAATAGGAATTTATATTGTCATCCAACACAATCTTATGGATTCCTAACTCGCTCACGCATATATACTCCACGACAGGCACCATATGTAGTTGCCGTATTTACTCTTCTGCTAGAAATCGAGAGAACGAAAAGTTGCATGCTTTCATAGCAAAGCTGAGCCCCTACTCAAGTAATTATATACTACAGGCCTCCAGAAGCACAACTGCAACCCAGCTTTTTACAAGCCCTTTTCGAGAAATACTGATTTTAGCATGGAACATCTCTGCAATATAGTTGCTCATGTGGGAACATCATTCAGTTTGTAAAAGCTTGAAATTTCTCGTATTCTTAATTTTTAGAAATGAAAATGTAGCAACGGTACATACGGGTGTCTGGTATGTAGTGAGTAAGAGATCCGTAAGCATCGTAGACGGAGATTTGGATTTTTCACTTTGGGCAATCAAAACTTCGTGGAGTTTAGCTTCAAAACTAAGTTGGATCAAAGATGGTGTAAACTTCTTCTACAGGTCGTTTGTAGAGCTTGCCTCTCTCTATCGAATGTTACCCCCCGAAGCCGCAACAAAAAGGGGAGGGTAGGGTATGGGTATGACTCATTGTCGTAAAACTACAAGGCGTGAAAGACTTATGTAACGCACTGATAAAAGAGTAAACGCCTTTTTTCTTTGTTTTTTGGCTTCCTACGAAGTCGTCCTGGATGACGTCGTGAGAACTTGAGTTGAATTTCACCGCATGCAAAACGAAAAGCTTTCCGGAATACTTAGTATTACCCTACAGAAACGGAGCTGATGGGCCAGGAACAGGCAACCGTTGTCTTTCCTTTTCAGGATACCTGTGGAGCCTATTTCCATGGCAAACAGAACGACGTGCGTGACTGCATAAGAGACGATCCGCGCAAAAACCACATCCCCACTACTCAGACAATCACAGGCTCTCAGCGGGAAGCGACAGTGAGGCGATGAGGCCACCGCGCTTTTGGTGGGTCTAGGCGGTGGCTTTGTGGCTGCCGGCTGAGAGCATTTGATTGTCTGAGTAGAGATAGTCGATTTCCACTGAATGTTTTGTGGCGCCGTATTTTGCAATGTGAGGAGAAATATACAGTTAGTCAAAAGGAGTTGAACCTCCAGTTTCATTGCGCAACAAGGAAGGCCTTTTTGCTGTATATGTGATGTTCCTATCTTGGAGGCCTTCATCAAAGAGTTGGATACGACCCAACAGAAATTATAACTGCTTTCTTGAAGATTGCTGCCGCTCGCAGCAAGCACTTGCAAGCCAAGGATATTTGTTGACGATGGTTGCTCATTGTTTGAGTTTATTAGTTACATTTTTCCAAACGAAGTCCTGAGGAAATCGTCTGTAAATTACTCTCACTCTTTGTTTGCCAAAGTCGAAATGAGCTCTCATTTTAAAGAGGATACTCGCAGAATTACGCATTGCTCATAACTCTGCATTACGCAGCTTCAAGAAACCTTCATATTCTGAAGCTCTGAACATCTGATTTTTGCTGCCTGTCCATCCGCAAGTGTTTCCACTACCATTTACTGTAAATAGTTTGAACAATAGCGAGAAGTTGTGCAAGCCGTGTTTTTCAGTTTTAGGATCACTCAATGATCCCTGCGGCTGGCCGTAACATCTTGAATGCTGTTTTTTTTCGAAGTCAATGAAAATTCTAAAGTTATACTGATCATTCAATCCGACAATGGTAAGTAGGTTTCTGATAAGAACAAATGATGTATTGAATTCATGAAAACTGCAATGAACCACAAGTCGAAAGTTGGGATCTAACGGAATTCATTGTCTTAATAACTCATTTGTTCTTATCGGAAACATGTTCAGCACTGCTGGATTAGATGAACAGTAAATCTCGAATGTTTTCATTCACTAGAAGGAAAAATCTTTGAAGATAAGACTATCGGCCGCTGGGAATCATAAGGAATCATTCAAAAACCGGAAAATGCAGCCTGTAGAACTTCTCGCTCCTGCTAAATATGTTCATTGTTAAGGGTAGTAGAAACACTAGCAATTATTAGGTTGATGCATAATTCCTGCACCAAAATAGGCACAGACCGCAATAACTCGGAATAATCCTATATCCCAAGTAGGATTCGATATATCATTTGATAGCGCAAACCTAGCTCTACAAGATAATGCTCAAATATCTACACCAGCTTGAATCCACGCGAAGTTTTGAGCCAAAAACTGAAAAAAACAATGCGTCCGAAAAGCTTAAGAGAGATCTTAAAAAATTGTAACTTCGTTTAAAAAGCTCATACAAATTTTCTTTCTTGCTCAAGCGTAGACGTTCCACGTAAGACATTTATCTATGCTGTATTTTTTTCTCAACTAGGCGATGAGAAAAACGAAGTTTTTTGAAGTTTTTCATGTTTTTGCCAAATTAATGCTGAGATGTTCTAGTATTAACAGTTGTATAGTACCTGCCGTTAGCAGTGAAACTTTACATTTTCAGCCTTCTAGAAATGCTAGTTCGCGAGAAATAACGAATCTAGCTCTCCTTATCCAAATTTTTCTTGCCTAGTTGCTAAAGATTCGATATTTCTCGTAAACCAGCTGCTCTAAAGAGCTGAAAATTCACATTCACGCTTCTAAGGTCCTATAGTATACAACTGTCAGTGCTAGAACATCTCAGCATTGTTTTGGGAAAAACATGAAAAACTTCGTTTTCTCATCGCCTAGTTGAGAAAAAAATACAGCAACCGCATAGATAAATGTCTTACGTGGAACGTCTACGCGTGACCAAGAAAGAAAATTTATGAGCTATGAGCTATGAGCTTTTTGAACGAAGTTACAATTTTTTTAAGATCTGTCTTAAGGTTTTCGGACGCATGGTTTTTTTCAGTTTTTGGCTCAAAACTTCGCGTGGACCAAAGCTGGTGTAGATATTTGAGCACTATCTTGTAGAGCTAGGTTTGCGCTATCTAATGATATATCGAATCCTACTTGGGATATAGGATTATTCCGAGTTATTGCGGTCTGTACCTATTTTGGTGCAGGAATTATGCATCAACCTGATAGATAGACAGCGAAAATTACGATGTCCAAAGCATACAAAGGTTCCTTCCAAGCTGCGTTCCCCTCCCCCAGCGGGGATGTTAATGCCTGCGGCCTTTAGTCTGCTTGTTTTTTCGACCAGCTTTCATATAATTCCCCAACTCCTTCCGTGAAAATCGGATGTGACATCTTGCTGGTAATCAAAATTTGATAGTGAAGCGTATAAAGTCTTCTGCTTCATAATATGGCAAAACGAACAAATTTGGACTTTACTACATCTCAAAGCGCGCGTCACACATAAGCACAACTGGTAAGAGTACAGAAAGGAAAATTTGGTCACATACTTGTTGTCGGAAAAACCATTACTTCCATTCTATTTATAATACAGTCTGCCATTCTGAAATTTATTGCCTTTGCTTTGCATAGTCGTAGTAAAGAAAATCAAGAAAAGTGTATGTACGTACTCTCCACCAAGTCGACTAATACTTGTGCTGTTCTTGTAGTCCACCAATGTCTGCTAGAAAAACTAAGTTCAAACAACCTCAAAGCGAGGCAACTCCTTCACCTGGACCCATTCTTTTTCGTGCAAAAACTGCAACCTCCTTCTGCATCTCAATTCATTGGAGTCTTTTCCGAAACTTGTTCGACATAAGTCGACCTGCGAAGAGAAGGACTCCAAAAACTGTAGAATTCAACAGAGTATAGGGCTCACGTCGCCATTTGGTGGATTTTCTATGTACTTTAGTGACACAGGAATAGGGAAATCACAGTTGGAGTACTGTTTCCATTTTGGAAATATGAACACGTAAACTGTTTGGAATTTCTTGCCATCTTCTTCTTCCTGATACGTAAAATTAGTGGCGAAGCCTAACCGATCTCTTTAGTGTAATATAAATATGATTGAGAGCAGCGTTCGGACATGCTATCTGCTAGGTTGCATTGTTCGAGACGCGCTCATATGAGCCAATAGTTGCACTTAGTGATATTATAAAACTTTTTCAAAGAGTGTTGAAAGTATCAGTAAGTAGGCAAGTATTCGTAAAATCAAAGTGAAATTTAAAGCATTCGTAATTTCTTGAAAAAGTTTTATAATACCAACTAATAAAATAATATATACTAAATGAATAATTAATATATTATATAATATATAAAATATACTAAATGCAACTATTGGCTCGTATGAGCGAGTCTCAAACAATGCAACCTAGCAAATACGGTCACCACCCTTTGTGGCTCAACATTCAAGATAGAGGATCGCGGGATCACGCGCTTTTTGTTTGTTTTACAAGCTGAAGTCCTTTTGTTTCGCAACGCTTTTGCGCAGTATTGGTTCTACTCAAAAGAATGGTCATAGTACAGCTTTTGGAATTATGAGCAGGCTTTTATCCACTGAAGTGATTTAGTTTTTACGAGGTAAGCAGAAAAATATCTGCTGCGATTTCTGACGCATTGCAAGGTTTGCTGCATTAATTTTTTCATTTCTCAAATCCCAGCGTTAGCAGCGAGAAGTTGGGTTATAAATGCAGGTTGGAACCCATGCCTTAATGAAGAAAAATGACTTTGCTTAATTACTGAAGCGGAATGTAGAGACTTATCGCATTCAGCAGTGTTGAGTTTGCACTAAAAGTTTTTTTTTTCAAAAAACGCGTACCAAAAAGTCTGCTTTTTTAGCGTAAACATAGGTACGTGGCTTAACACAAAGACAGGGACTTGCTATTTTACCCAATGATTGCTCGAAGTTTGCTCCCGCAGCACTAGGAGTTTGGTTGAAGAACGTTGGCGCAGCGCAAAACATAACGATGGCACACCACGCCCATTTCGACGTGATCTTGAATGGACAACCGTATGCATATCCCCTTTGAGAGGGGAACAGTTTATATTTTGAAATTTCCACGCCTATCCATCCATGCCCTACCACCCTGATAATTATACGAAGGATGAATGATAGCATAATGTCATGTAGGGTGCACATGCATAGTGTGTATAGCTTACGTGGATTGATGAAATGCCCTATCTTTTGTACATCTAAAATATGCTTACAATGAGTTATGGACAGTTGGAATGTTGCCGAATCGCGTCGTGACTGAAATCGCGTGAATTATGCCCGGCCCTTAAGAGACCAGATATAACCTTTGATTCAACTGAATTGGCGGCTGGGTGGGGCTTTGAGATGTACCCTAATTTCCTGGGTATAAGGCGCATTTTTATAAGGCGCACTCGCCGCAGCAAACAATGGCGCGAAAACGCTTTCTAATTGATTGCTTTCTAAATCTAGAAAGCTTAATACTCAGTGTGCTGTGGTTATCCCTCACTGCGCACCCATCGTGCTTTCAGGTACTTTTTCTAATCTTCTCAGAATGTATAATGTAATATCGGTGCTACTGGTGGGTTTCTCTTGTTTCGAATGATGTTACCGGTGCTACATTTGTGCTTTCCTTCGTTACCTATAATGCTGGTACTGAAACTGTGCTTCCCCGTACAATGATACTACTGGTATTTTGAAGGTGCTGTGTTTGTTTTATTCCTGTCATTCTTGAAGAGTAAAAGAGAAGGAAGAGATTTGTTCTGAAAAAATCACTATTGAGAGGAAAACTGCTAAGAACAGGAGCAAAAAGCTACTGCTGCGTCAAAGAGGTTACTGTTCTGCTTGTGCGGCGCCGCGCATCGCGAACGTCGTCATAAGTCAGTCCGCGCGCGTTGAAAGCTACTGCGCCTTATACCCCGGAAATTAGGGTAATTAGAGGCAGCGTCCAGGAAAATCTGGACAAGGGGATCTCCACGTGGATAGTAATTGTGGGGCCCCGACTAAGGCATTGCCCAACCGGCAGCTTAGGTAGTTCTCTAACGGCTGTGATAATCTCCTCGATACTGGGCCTCAGGATCGTATTTCGCATAGATTCTGGCGCAGTTCATAGGTCCTCGCGGGAAACTGACGGTTTGCGCTATGAATCCATGCAAAGTACGATACGCCCGGAGTGAGTCACCTGCACTATCGCTTGGGCAGTGCCTTAGTTAGGGCTCCAAAATTACTTTCCACGGAAGATTCCATGGATGCAGATTTGCCTGGACGCTGCCTTTTAGGCCGCTCACGCCTGCGACGCAGTCTGCACCTCTCTCGCCCGCGCTCTCTCTGACCGTTCCCTTTTAACTAGGTCACGAAACCCTGTCTTCTAGCCGCCAATCCAGTAGAATCCAAGAGTAGCCACTAGTCTTCGAAGTTATTCATCTTCTATGAATTAAACAACGTTGCAGAGTTTTGTTGAACTTGATACAACAGTGGTAAGCTTGCTTGTAATGGAAAAAATCATGTAATTCCTGAGCGATAAAACTTCAAAAAGCATTGCACGCAAATTCATCGGAAGAGTTCAGGAAAGCTCTTCAAAAGTCATTTGTCTTCTTCGAGATATGCTTATCTTTGTCAGGCTACTCAGAGACTCGTGCCGTGCCGGCCAGCAACGAAGGTTCGTGCAACCGTTACATTTGCTATCATATGATCATCAAGGACCGATTGCGGGGAAAGAGCCGCCACGCGGAATTGGGCTGATGATGGTAAGGTGCCTCAAAAGCACTGTTCACTCCAATAAGGGACAGCAAGGTCCCCATCAAATTACCCTACAATACCGCTCATAATTCGTCAAAAAAGTCGCCGGACTACGGCGGACTCCGCCGGAGTGCGGCAGAGTGCGCCACACTCCAATAGAGTCCGCCGGAGTGAGGCAGAGTGCGCCACACTCCACTAGAGTCCGCCGGAGTGAGGCAGAGTGCGCCACACTTCACTAGAGTCCGTCGGAATGATCGCCACATTGCCATATCTCGCTTCAAAATGGACGAATTCTGAATCCAAGGGCACCGCTCGATTCAGCTCGGCGAGACGCATCATCTTATATATGAAGCTGAACGCCTGTTTGTCTGTTTGTCTGTACGTACGTCCCGAATAGAAAATTCCATTTCTGAACCGATCCGGACCAAACTTGGCACACATACACTTCGGGCCCCGGCTGGTGTCATAGGCTACTTTTCGGCATCGATCGATATCGATCGATATCGATTTTATTGATTTTTATCGATTTTTTGCAGAGTTCACCTAAGGGGCCGGGAGTTGCACAGGGGAGTAAGTGAGTATGGGATTCCGAATACAATAATAGTTTGCAGAATTATCGATTACTTTTATCGATTTTTATTGATTTTTTTGCAGACTTCACCTACAGGGCTCCGAGTTGGCGCAGGGGGAGGGTAAGTGAGCATGGGGATTTCGAATACAATATTAGTTTTCAGAATTATCTATTATTATTTTGGTTGAATTCAGTGTGCTGATAACAGTATTACCATTGATCTGTCGCTGATGACACATAGACAGTATACTATAGGAGTATGGTAGAGAGCCACTCCGATCGAATTCGTTCTAAGATCTGCTCAAGATCACAATACCGCTCACAGAATGTCAAAATTTCCGCGAACTTCGCGGAATTCCGGGATTTCCGCCAGAGTGCGCGATATTCCGGGAAGTTCGCGACATTTCAGGATCCGCGAAACCATGCGAATCACGCAGAATACGCAACGCCGTAACTTTCTTCGGAATGAATACATTCCGAACCCAGAAGCAGCATTGTGTTCAGATCGTCGAGGCAAATATTTTGATATACAGTATGCTCTCGATATTCCGTTTTCAGTTTTTTCGAATTTTTTCTGTGGAGGTCCTTTCGCAATTATGTAACGCAGCGTCTGTGTAACATAAAAGATTCCAGTAAGCACTGTTCGATAGTACTTTTGTAGGTTATCATGCGTTCAAGAGTAGCTGCAGACTGTATTCCAAAATAGAAGCGTTGGTGAATTTTGGAAAAATCATGCGTTTCTAAATTCTACTCGCCGTAACTTCCTTCGGAATAAACATATTCTGAATCCGAAGAGAGCTTTGTGCTCAGTTCATCAAGGCAAGTCTTCCTATATACAGCATATCCTTGATATTCCGATTTCAATATTCTCAAATCTTTCTGTAGACGTATTTTCGCGAAGGTGTAAAGCAGCGCGCATTGCCCCTAGTAGACTCCAGCGAGGACCTTTCGATAGTACTTCTCTTGTAGAAACGTAGCGCTAAAAAGTAGTCACGGGCATATTTCCAATGGAGGTAGAAAGGATGGTAAATTGTAAAAAAATCTTGTTGTCCCAAATTCTACTCGTCGCAATCCTATAATACGAGGCTATCTTGTTAAGCAGATGTGAGTTTTGTAATCAGCAAGTCGGATGACCCTTATGAACAAGTTTTCCGAGATGTTCGGGTGATTTCATTTTTTCTCGTTTTACGCTTCGGAAGCTCGCCGATGGATTTTGGTCAAAATGTTGATGCTCTCGAATTGCAAAGAAACTCCTCTCATAGAGGTTTTCGAACACGCTGCTTGTGAAAATCGTGTTCTCTGTCAAGTATAGGGTCTTTTTGCAGAGATATGGTGAGATAACTGCAACGGATTCACGAAAGCTCGTAAGTTCGCCTCCACCTCTCACGTATCTGTCAGAAAAACTGTCTGGTTGCTTCTCAGTAAGTTAGTAAGGTTCCAAGATTGTTATCCGTTTATCAATATAACGTCAACACAATATGTTACGATCCAGCTTGTTCGAAAACAGACTGTAATATATGCAATTTTAACAAACCGGGAGATTGCATGTGTCATGGTGCTGTGTACTTGATATCTTGTAAACTGTGTGGGGAAGAATATATTGGAGAAACAGGAAGACCGCTGTAAGTACGAATTAACGAACATTTGGACGGAATGAGAAAATCGCGAGTGTCCACGCCTCTTGGCGCACATCGTGTGCTTTGCCATCAGGACATAGAGTTTCAAATTA